CTTATAAATTGTATTGTTGCATAAGATTTATGGTTGTTTAAAACTTAAGGATTTGTCAGAAGAGGACTACTTGTGTTAAGTGTGGGTTATTAGGAAACATTTCAGTGGGCCTTTTCTTTTGCGTTACCATTGTGTCAACGGTAAAGAAAATACCATTTTGAATATCAGCAGAGCATTTCTAATATAGCTTTATAATATCAGTAATCAGAGATCAGTCATAAATATTGATTTATAGATTAATTCTTGTCCTTGATGTAGCTTCCTAAATTAGTGATTTTGATGATATACCTCCACCTTCCTACCAGCTTCCCCAACCTAGGTGTATTTTGAATATTGATATATTTAAACTATTATAGAAAGACTTCTCCTTAACCTTGAGTAAATCAATGAGTAAATATGTAGAATTAATGATTTAGCAATAAATAGATTTCTGTTAAAAGGAACATTGTAAGAAAACTTTAATTTTTAAATTATGCTTTTGTTGCTTGAGATCAAATTGAAATTTCTTTTGTCTGTTGTTATGTTAAGACTATTGATACTTCTTTAATAGATTTATCTATAAATATAAGTTAAAAACATTTTTCTTTTAACTTGCTGACTTTTTGTGGTGCACAGTGATAAGTTCTTTACTGGTTCTCCCATTGAGAACTAGAGTCTAATTTTTCTCCCCTTGAATCTGGACGGGCTTTAATGACTTATTTGACACATCATGATGTTTTGGGACTTCTGCCTGAGACCTCACGGAGCATTTGCTCTTCAAATCTCAAGCCACCTTGTGAGAAATGCAATGACCTGATTAAACTCATGCTAGGCATGTGGAGAGGAAGAAAGGTGTTTCATAGCTGTCTCGGCCCCCATCAATTCGATTCATCCCAGCAGAGGCTCCATACATTGTGGAGAGAGGGCAGCCATCTCTGGAGCATGTCAGAATCAGGATTCCTAAACTTCAGAACCAGAAGACATAAATTGTTTTAATCTATCAATTATTGAGTAGTTTGTGATACAGCAGTAGGCAATCAGAATATCTGTATTAAGAAAAAGAAATGTCTTGAAACTGTGGTAGCAGTTGTACAATGCTGCTTGATGTGATTGAACTATAGAATGATATGATAGCTGTATTAGCTCCCAATAAAATGGTTTTGGGAAAAAAATAGAAATATCAATATAGCTGGCTAGACCAGAGCATGTACAGAAACCCCTCAGGATCAATAATGCGAGTAGGGATACCCTGAGGGTAGGAGGAAGGTGGTGCAGTCATGGTGTCTGTCCATGTTGATGATGAGCTTCGTCTTTTTCACTGGCCAAAGTCTTGGTGTTTCCCTTCTAAGGAGCATTCTCGCTCTATGACTATATCTTCTGAGAGAGATTTGCTCATTCTTCTGGCAGTTTGTGGTATATTCAATATTCTTTGCCAACATCATCATTCTGAGGCATTAATTCTTCTTTGGTCTTCCTTACTCATTGTTCAGCCAGCTTTCACATGCATATGAGATAAATGAAAATGCTGGGGCTTGGGCTAGGTGTATCTTAGTCCTAAAGTGACATCTTTGTTGTTGTTGTTTTAATAACTTTAAAGAGGTCTTTTGCAACAGATTGGGCCAATGGAATATGTCATTTGATTTTTTGACTTGATTTCATGAGCACTGATTGTGGATCTAAGTAACTTGAAATCCTTGCCAACTTGACTATTTATGAAGATACTGCTTATCATGGTCCAGGTCTGAGGATTTTTGTTTCTCTATGTGGAGGTGTAACCCATACTGCAGGTTGTCCGTCGTCTTTGGTCTTCATCAGCGTGTGCTTCAAGTCCTCTTTGTTTTTTCTGTTGGCTTGTTTTAGTTTTATTTTTAGTTTACAGGGTGTTATTTCTTACTGTTTATAGTAGTGAAAATGGAAAGTAACTAGCAGTAGAAAATTCGAGTATGATTCATTCATTGCATTTTTATGTAGCCATTCATATCAGTTTTTGTGAGTACCGATTAACTGAGCTCAAGAACCCCGGTAGCATCATGGTTACCAATGGGCTGCAATCCACAAGGTTTCTCCATAGGAGAAAGACAGGGCTTTCTACTCCCATAAAGAGTGGCAGTCTTAGAAACCCACATGGGAAGACCTACCTTGTCCTATCGGGTCACTATGAGTTGCCGTTAACTCAGTGGCAGTGAGTTCTTGTTTGGTTGGTTGGTGGGTTTATTCACATAAAGATGTAGGTTTCTAGAAATTAGGAAGCAGTCATAAATAAAAGATTTTATAAATGTATAAATTTTTAGGTATGGTTAAGAACTGTGAGAGGCCACAATAAAATGATTTTTTTTAAAAATGGGTATGTTAAAATTTTCATAGCAACCCTTTAAGACCAAGTGCAACTGCTCTGTAGGTGTCTGATACTATAACTCTTGATGAGGGTAGAAGCCTCATTGCTCTCCCAAGGAACGGCTTATGGTTTTGAACTGCTGACTCTGTGGTTAGCAGCTCCACCATGTAACATGTAACCTACTATGCCACAAGGGCTGGGAATCAGCTTGCTGACAGTGAGTGAGTATTTTGGAAAATATATAGCCAGTAAATAAGTTGATACATATTAACTATTATGGAGGAAGAAATCTATGATATGATATATTAAAAACTGATCATAAAGTAATAATCTTATTTTTCTAATATAAATCTTTTTGTACATTTGGCTTTTTTTTGCTGTGGGTTTTTTTTTTTGCTTATCTATTTTCCAAAATTACTCTAGTGTCACAGTATCTTTAACATTAAAATGCAACTATACCATAGAAGATTGCTTAATTTTATATATTGGCTTAGCTAAAAAATTTTTAAGTATAGGAATTTGTGGAAAGCGACATCGTGCTATTTTTTTAATAATACTAATTCAGATTTCTCAAATCTGGAAATATAAAGAAAATCTTTTTTGTTGTGACGTTTTAAAAATTGGGAACTGGTCTTTAAAATACACATAATTTGATCATAATTCACTTGATAATAGTTAATCTTTGCCTTTGTTCCTATTTAGACTTACATTGTGTGAATGTTGCTGCTTTGTTTCCCAACTATGTGTATTTCATGTTCATGTCTTAGGTTGTCTCCAAGTCTCCAGGGGGCTTGCTTATTTCTAGACTGCTTGGAGAGTTTGAGGTGAGTTTGTGCTTCTTCATCAAGCATAGTTTCTATGCCTTAAGTGTCTAGTGATAGACCCTTAGTTTGTTCCTTTCCCACTGATCCTCAACATCAGTGACCTAACACTTATCAGCTTGATATTTAAATCTGTGATCAAAAAGTTAAAAATTATGTGTCTTAACAAATACTTGACTTTGGAAGGATATTTCTACTATTTTCATATCATTAGATAAATATTGGAAAGTCTGACAATGCCTGTAAATAAAGAAGCAATTCCTCATATACTGTTTGTGGGATGAAACCACTTTGGGGTGCATTTAGGCAATCTCAGGTATCAAGTAAAGTTGGCAACATGTGTCCTCAGTGGTAAAGCAGTTCCACTTCTATCTATGCACTCCAGGGAGACTCTAGCATGCATGCATACACAGATATAGGTAGATAGCTGTATGGATGTTCATTGCAGCCTGGTAAACGCCTGGGGGCACAGGAATGGACAAATAATTCGAAATAGACATATTTGTCTGTAACATGGAATAGTTCATAAATGAACTAGATTTGCTTTTCAGCATGGATAATTTTTGAAACCATAATTTCATGCATCTGAACTTTAAAATGTCATGACCTATATGTATGGTAGCTGCATACCAGACTGTATTCAGAGTACCTTTCTTTCACCCAGTACTTTATTGGATTTTCACAACTAACTGAGACATAGAGAAGTTACTTGCCTATGGGTCAGTATGTTAGGCTGGGCTCGTTAGAAGAACAAAACCAGTGAGGCATGTACATACATCTGTATAGAGAAATGTATTTCAAGGACATGGCTCACATTGGTGGACGCTGGCAAGTCCTAAGTATGTGGCTCAAGCATAAAGCTGGAAGCTTCTCCTAACTCACATGGGTGCAGTAGCCAAATTGGCTGGTCAGATAGTAGGCTACTGACCCCATGAGCCCCAGGGGTCAGAGGGTGACAACTCAGGTGCAGATTAAGAAAGACTCAGCTTTGCCAGAATATCTATATATGTTGGACACAGATCATACCCTCAAGGAAACTGATTGGCTTTCAACAGAATGGCTACTCACAGCAGATCACAAAATAGAGGATGATTACATTATATTGCACTATGGAAGAGCAGTTGATCCAGTGTTTGCCAAACCACAGAGAAGCATAGCTGACATGCGACATTAGCCAACACAGTCCACCCCTTACCAACTTGGCACCTGTACACATCTTAAGCCATACATAATCCTCTAAGCAAAGAGAATTATAGTGTCATACTTGCCCCTAATGTACACTTAATGTATACGCAGAAGTGCACTAACTCTGTTTACACGTTATATTTTATAAAGGGCTAAGAGAAGGACGAAAACAAAAATATTTGTGCACCCTCTTATATAAACATATAATGGAACATGGAAGAGATACTCAACAATTACAGTTCTCGTTTTTCAAGCTGGCACATGGTGATATGTGGTAATTAGAACTGTCCTTACCACCCATTCTGTATTACCTTTGCCTTCAGCAGGCACCTCAGCTAGTTGAGACTCTATGTAATAGGGTGGCCCAAACTTTTATTCCCAGAGGATCTGGGACATACATTAGTATTGATGTCAGAATGGAGTTGCTGCCTTGTGTCATTTACTTTTATCACAAGGCACAGTAGTATGAAGCAATATCCTCAGGAATCTCCTAGATTCCCAACATAATGTTCTTTATCTGTGTAGTCTGTACTGTCATTCTGCCGTCCCTTGGAAATCAGGATTGATCACACTGGTCAGCGTGGTAATGCCATTCTTAGTCTGTTGATCTAGAGCAGTGTTTCCCACAATGGGTGATTGCTGCCCCTTGGGTGCCCCAGAAAGATCTGGGGAGCTGCAAAAGCACTTTATCTTGGATTATGAACTGCAGTACAGAGATTTTTAATCACCAGAGAAGCACTGAGTAATTCTGTCATCTCCCCCCCACACCCCCCCAATGGCGTGGTAGGTCAAGTAAGTTTGGGAACCAATGATCTAGAGGCATAAGGAACCCAAAGTGACTAAGTGGTTCTTTTAACCTGCAGTTTAGTGGAAGCAGTTTTGTGCCTTTAGGTGTGTGCATTTATTTGTCCCCTTGGAAATCATACCTCTAGACCCCCAGGATGAGGTCATGGGGATGGGAAGCAGACATTTTATAAATGGTTCTGGCTATCAGGTAAGCATTGGACTGATAACAAGGTCATTAGTTCCAACCCCCAGCCACTCCATGGAAAGAGGAAGCGCTCTATTTCCATGAAGATCTACAGCCTTGAAAACCGTAATAGGGTTGCTGTGAGTCAGAATGGCAGTGAGTTTGGTTTGGGGTTTTTAGTAGGGATAGACATGAACGGAGCATTCCCTTTCCAGCCCGATTTTGAGAAAAGCACCATCCATTAGCTGTTGGTTTCAAGTACCTGGAAAGCGTTTGCCCCAACCTGGCAAGGTATTGCCTCATAGCTGGCATTGATCCTTTAGAAGGTTCTTCCACTGTCCTATCAAGGCAATTGTTTCAGGATGGTGGGAACATACATGGTAAGCCCCATGAATCCCATGAGCACGGACCTATTGCTGTACTTCATTTGCTGTGAAGTGAGTCAAGCTTCAAGGCGATACTGTGTGATGAAAGTGGATGAAAGTACCATGGAAGTGGATAAGGCATTCTGTAAGTCTACAGGTGTTCATTGGGGAATGTCTATCCGAATAAAACAACACTCTTTCCATGGTGGAAATGGTCCAATGTGATCATCTTGCCAGCAGGTTGCAAGCTCCTTGCTCCTAGGAATAGTGCCATGTAGGGACTTTTGGTCTCTGCTGCTAGAAAAGTGGTCATTCATCAGGGGCTGGAGCCTGGTCACCCTTGGTGCATGAAAGTCCTTGATGCTGAGTCTGTACATGACCTCCATCCCTGATATGGTGGCCACTTTGTTCATGAATTAGTATTGGAAAGGGTTTCCTATCTAAATTCTTGCATATTCAGGAGTGATTGCTTCACACAATGTCCCATTCTATCCATTTGATTGTTAAAATCCTCCTCTGCCAAAGTCACCCTTTGTGGAACATGAAACACAAGTATCTCTACTTTTTCTGATCCTTAATAGAGGTCTATTCACATTCCTGTCCACACACTTCCTTGACACCAATTTCCCAATTCTATTACTTCTAAGTCCATGCTCATTCAGTCCAACGATTGCCATGGGCATTGAGTCAGCATGTAGCCATATACTTGGCCGTTTCGCCATCCAAGCACAATGTACAGCTTTGTGGACTGCATGAAGTTCTGCCCTTTGGAAGGATTTCCCTTCACCACTGTTCTCTATAGAGGTCCCAGAATGGGGCTTCAGTTTCAGGGGGGTGGGGCAAAAAGGGAGACAATGTCAAGGAGTCCAGGAAGGAAATGAATGTTTGGAAGTTGTGTAGTGATTGTACAATTCTACTTGACGTGATTGAACTATGGAATGATATATATGTATTAACTTCCAATTAGTAATAAAATAAAATAAAGAAGGGGGCTTCAGCGCTGCCACTGCCAGCGTCTAGGAGGTGCCTGCATATTGTACAGAACCATTGGTAAGCCAGTCATGTGTCCATCGAGTGATCATAAAGAACTCCCTGTGAGGCTACAGGTGTAAACTGGGAGAGGGAAGGTCATGTGATAGGAGTGTAAAAGGGTATTTGAGCCACTTCCTCATGTAACTTGCTTGTGCCCTCAGATCCTATTACAGCCCAATCTTGTATATCTCACTTTTAGTCAATAAGGTTGTGCTGCTGTGCAGTTGAACTTGACTCTATGGGCCGGACAGTTTGTGGTGGGATGTTCAGACTGTATGGTGGCTCGGTGGTGTGTGGTGAAGTTCCCAGTCTCTACTGAGGCACAGTAATGCCACAAAAAAATTGCAAATTCTCAAAGAAGAGTAGTTATCAACAGAGGAAGGTTGCCAAGGGTGACAAAGCCCAAATCAATAGGTCATATGGCAGGCTGCTTGCTCCCAGGACAGCAGGGGCTGACAAATCCCCAAATCTGCAGGTCAGAAAGGCAGCTGGTAGCTCACATCCTAACAAATGGACATGGGAGGATGATGAATCGAATGCAGAGCAAGCTTTCCAAGAACATTCATATGTGTCGGACACAGACCACGCCCCTAGGAAACTTTGGCTTTTCACATCAGATTAAAAAAATGGAGGATTGTTATGGGAATGATTATATTATATTACAGTAGGGGAAAAAATGTGCCTGCAAAACCACAGAACCACAGTTAACATGTAATAGTAATCCAAACTGAAATATCTAGAAATGGGAGCCATGGTTTCAACCCTAGGCATTCTGGGAATGCCATAACTGTGCAAGGTAGAAATCTATCCAAAAAGGAAGTCTCAAATATTTCCCAATAAAATGAGCCTTAGAAAAGTAGTAAGATTTCACCCTGTATAAGGCAGAAAACAAGACAGTGCTGCTGAAATACAATTCTCATAGGTTTCACTGCAGTATATATGCAGATACGATCGGATGTATTACATGCCAGAGTAGCATAAAATGTGTCACTTATTTGCTATATTATAGATGGTATGTAGAGTAGGGAAATAATCTACTTTGGTGAGGGTTTTTTGTGAGGTGTGCATGACTTAAAGCACTTAGAATGGTAATTGGGCCTGAAAACCAAAACAGCCCAAAATAACCCACATGTATTCACTAGAAAGCGTGAGAAGCCATTTTGAGAAGAGCACTTGAAATGGAATGGAATTTGTGTACCTAATGGCAAAGAGTAGATACTAAAACTTGAAGGGACTGTGACCTCTGTGAGTCCTTGACTGATCATCCAGGGCTCCCTTCCAGACAGCCACATGCCAAAGAGAAGTGAGCATATAGTAGACAATGGGAACAGTGAAAAGAGAAGGTCAAAATATAGAGGTCAGAAAAAAGGACCAGGGAATCTCAGTAACAGCTACTATAATTTTGAACAATACATGCAAACAATGGAAGTGCTCTGAAGAAGAGTTATCCT